CACACACACACACACACACACACACACACACACACACACACACACACACACAACAGGGGTTATAAGGTTAATGGGCATCCAGTCAGTTAGCTAGTTAGTACCTTGGGTTTAATATCGGCACATATGACAGGACAGTGGTAACAACAGTAGGCTACGGACAATTTTAAGTTTTAGATTTTAAATAGGCTATAGAAATTTCAATGGGAGCAACAGGACTGTCAAATGTCGCTGATTTTACTACAGAGTAGGACGGATTGTAGGGTAGCAAACATCGTCGGAAAACACGTTTTCAACACTGCAGGTTACCTGGTGTAATGTTTTTCAGCTAAAAAGAAACATGGTCTGACTCCTACCTAACTATATAAAGATTAACTGAAGGTTAAATGCAGCTAAATTGTCCTGTTTTGAGGCAGGCACTTACACCTCCGCCTCTGTAACCTTCACTAACACTATTTTTGTACTTTGCCAAGTTATGAAACCTGACAGAAACTCTTCAAATCAGCCATTTAGCATTACCATTACAACCACTCTTTCAAGAATTATTGAGATAAAAGGAAGGTTGGAGATAAGTAGCCAAGAAAGCTGGTCAAGTGATGGCTTTTTAAGTAGTGGTTTAATTACTGCCAGATTGAAGGCCTGTGGTATAGAGTTGATTAACAGAGATAAGTTAGTCATATTTAAAACTGAATGTAATGCACTGTACATTTGAACTGATGATTTGTTACCTTTTTTTAACTGAAAAAGCCATAAATAACAACAAAAGTGGTATTTGAACGGCCTAGAAGTCAGAAATACTTTGCTAAATTGTATTATACAAGTATAATGTTTCCGTGCTTTTCATGAGTACTTTCTTGAGTCACTGGTATTTACATACGGAGTGCCACTTTATAAAGTCAACAGAGTATGCGCTTGAGCGTCACAGTTCATTTAATTTTTTCAGCTTGTCCCCTGTTATGTACACACGCATAATTCTATGTGCACCGTTTTAGGTGTGTGATACGCCCCAAAACCAAACATTTTTTCCTTTTTTCCTTTACAAGGCATTCAGCCCTGTTTACTTGGTCATTGTTTGCCATCTCATATCAGCATAGAAACTGAACTACAACCTATGCATACTGTGTCATTGGGTATAAGAGCTGTGGTTGTAAACCCTATCCTAGTCTTCAATTTCAGACCTTGCTTTCAGGAGCCAGATACTAACTTCAAGAGTTGAAGGGGACTGCAAATTTTCCTACAAATCAAGGTAGTTTAAACTCATCCTACTAACTGATTTTCTT